CTCGCACCCAGTGTGCTTTCCCGCGCACACTCCTTCTTCGCCACCTGTGTGCGATGGGCCCTCCCCACACTGACCTGCTTGGTGGAAGCCCCTACTCCACGGGCATTTCGCAACGCGGGTACTCGGCGTTCTCAAACCCCATGCCTCGGGCTACGCACGTGTTTTTGTAAAGAAAGTTTTGGTTGGAATGAAGCTTGTGCGTTCCGCTTATGCACTGCAGCCGGTGGTCGCCCGCGGCCTGAGGCTTCTCCCTTGCTCGCAGATAGCTATCTTCCCTGTGTCTCACTATGTGCGTCCTTCTTGTGCATGTCGTGTCCCTATTTTTTCTTTTTTCTTTTTTTTTTTTGTTTAAAAACAGAGTCTCACTCTGTTTCAGTGCTAGAGTACAGTTGTTCTCATAGGCTCACCATAGCAACCCTCAAACTCTAGGGCTCAAGAACCTCCTGCCTCAGCCCCACCAGTAGCTGGGATGCAACGGTGTGAACCCACGACCCACAGCCCTATCTCTTTTCATAAGGACACCCAGTCAGATTGGATTGGGCGCCCCCCTAACTGCCTCATTCTTACCTTTTTTTTTTTTTTTTTTTGAGACGAGTCTCACTTTGTTGCCCAGGCTACAGTGAGTGCTGTGGTGTCGCCTAGCTCACAGGACCTCATCTCCTGGGGCTCGAGCAACGCCTGCGCCTGCAGCCTCTCGCCAGCTGGGATCAGCAGCGCATAGCGCCACAGCTATAGCCCAGGCTAATTTTTTCTATATATATATATTAGTTGGCCAATTAATTTCTTTCTATTTATAGTAGAGATGGGGTCTCGCTCTTGCTCAGGCTGGTTTTGGACTCCTGACCTCGAGCAATCCTCCCGCCTTGGCCTCCCAGAGTGCTAGGATTACAGGCGTGAGCCACCGCGCCCGGCCCTCATTTTACCTTAATCACCTCGGTAAAGGCCCCATCTGCAAATACAGTCACATTATGAGGTACTGGGGGCCAGGACTTAGAAATATGGATTTGAGGGGCACACAGTTTAGCTTACAGACATGTCTGTGCGTTTAGAGGATGTACCTGCGCGTGTGTCTGTGCTGGGTGAGAAAGGCGGAGCTGGGGAGAGAGGGGAAGAGAGCGGGAGAGCTGGAGCAATAGTGCGCACGCGGGGCTGGGAGGGGAGGGGATGAGGAAGTGAGAAGGAACGTGTGAGTGAGGGTCTCCGTGGGGTGCGAAGGCTGGAGGCAGAGGAAATGCGTTTCCGGGGAACTGAATTCCTTTACTGAACAGTCTGTGCGTGCAACGGAGAAGGAGCACACGCGCGGAAAGGGACTCCAGCCCTTCCCCGCACCCCGCCTGCGGCAGCGCAGAGCTCCGTCCACAGTCTCTGGCGCCCTCTGCTGGACAGACTCGCAAAGCACAGGGGAGCGCTGTTCGGCTTCCCCGATCCCGGCCCAACACCACAGCCACCCACACGGAGGTGCTGAAATGTAAGTTCATTAAAAGGTTAGAAACCTCATTTATGCCAGCCACATTTCAAGGCTTAACAGTGGCTAGTGGCATCCCTTCCGCACAGCACAGAAGTTCCATCTGATGTCGTGCCAGTGACCATGAATTCTATGGGAAAAAAGAGGACCCCTGACCATCTCACCTCTGTCCCTCCCACCCACTCACTCTCTCTCTCTCTCTCTCTCTCAACAGAAGAGTTCTGGAGACTTCCAGCATCAGCCAGCATCCGGGCTTGGTTTGGGCACTTCCCACTGTCCTTCCACAGGACAACGTGGCCAGAGCAGAAACTCACTTACACACGCATGCGCACGCCCCTCCCACCATCTCGGGCTGGCCCAGAGCTGCCACATCAGCATCTGAGGATGCAGGGCTTCAAGAGAGTTTGCCATCAAAACAGTTTCACTGAAAGAATGGAGTAGAGATGGGCTGGACGAATGAATAATTAAATGCAGTCATTCAATCTACTTGAAATCAATATCAAGTTACAAGCCAGGCAGGCCCTTAAAGTAGTAATTTTAAGGGTCTAATGGGGAGACGTTCTCATTAACATCAGCATCTGCTGAGAACTGTTGCAGTCACAATACTCCAGAAAATAAGAGGAGACACAAGGTCCTCAAACCTCAAATAATGTGTTTCTTAGATACTAAGAAAAAGGAAGAAAATTACACAGAAAAAATAAAACCATTTCTAGCCTCTTTTTCACGTGGCTATGATTCCTCTAGGTAATTTTCATATATTTTCTTTTCCCTTTTCACAAATGGGGAAAGAAAGTCTCTAACTTTTAATCGTTCCAAGGAATTCAGGAGAATTATGACAATTTTGTTATTACTTTCTTTTGTTTCTTTTTAAAGAAATTGAATAGTCCAACACAGAATTTAAAAAAAAAAAAAATGGTGAAAGCAGAGAGGGATGAACTTAACAAATATGTGTTCCAAAGAGCTAAGTTCCGGAGCACCAGGACTTGGTAAGATGGGGACCTAAGATAACCCTCGGGCTCCAGTATCAGCAGCCCCACCGCAAACCCACACCCCCACCACCTGGATCTCGCCTCAGCCCTGCGCCCGTGACATCAGGGTCTGGCCACTCCCAGATGTGGCCACTCCCAGATGGAGGTAATGCTTCCCCAGCATGACCCTGAGCCCCCCCCCTCGTTGGTCATTCCGCTCTGAACACACTGGGTTACCTGCTGTGGGGGCTCCCCCCATAAATGCATTATAGTTATACCTCTTAGCAGCACCTTCCAATTGCCGGTGCTGCGAGGGGCCACAGACGGAGGGAACAGGGTGGCTCACTGTACAGGACGGCTGGCATCCTCGCAGGGCGAGGCATCCTGGGATTGAGGGGATGCGTCCACTAAGAAGTTTGCATCTATAGAGCAATCATTAAATAGTGCTCTCTGAAATCATAAATATCTGAACTAAAATAATGTGGATGAGGCCAGGCGCGGTGGCTCACGCCTGTAATCCTAGCACTCTGGGAGGCCAAGGCGGGCGTTTCCTGAACGACTTGAGGGCGACATGCTGTTGGCATCAGAGCAGCATGGGGAAAGGCATGCAGAGAGATTCAACCCATGCACTGTGTGCCTGGGCTCCCCTCGGTTTCACTTCCGCCGGCATTACTGGGAATGGACGTGGCTACAAGCAAGAGAATGGGACGTGGAGTTTGCAAAGAATCCGTTATCGAGAAGGAGAAATCCTTATCCTGTCCTCAAGAACTCGCCTTCCTGGACTGGGTTTTGGTAGAGCGATCCAGCTTCTACACTGTCGCCCCAGCACCACACCTTTCACAGGTCTGGGTGCCGGCCCCGGGTACGCCAAATGGGCGTTTTCCTGACTGGATGTGGGCACCGTGTCCTTTTATAACCTCAGTGAATGGGTCCCATAGTCTTCACATCACTTAAAATTCCCACTGCAGGCTCACTGCGCCCATTTTTCTCCCCTGCCAGATGAAACGGATGATGATCAGGCTTCTGAGTATCTTCCTGGATCCAATCACAGGCTTGTCCAGTCCTCCAATTACCCTGGGCAAGGGAATAAACCCCGGAGACACAGAATCATGACCGCAGGAAATCGCTCTGTGCT